TTAATATAAGCCATTTTGAAAATTCCAAAGTCAAATACCACATTTTAGATTTTCCTTCGCCCTGCTTGTCCGAATTTAAAGTATTTCTACTCTTAATTTGATTTACTATTAACACAGAAATAGGATTAGTTGCTCTCAGTAGCATATTCTTTTCTCTTGCGATACCATTTTTTATTTCACTTAATTGTACAAATTTCTTCCATTCATACAATATATGAGTACATGAAACAAACGTAGCAGCAACTGTATATATACTAATGTAACTTCGATTCGACGTATCTGCGAGAACCTTCGATACTAATTCATCTAAATGCCAAACTTTATACATGTATAGTACAATAAAACCACACCTATTTAAAACGCCGAAAACATTCTCGTGCCCCATGCACCTAACATCAAACTTAATGAATTTATAGTATGTACTTTTGCCAAACTAGTCTTTCTCGTTCCCGTCTATGTATAAGTCACATGCATAACAAACGGGTGATACCCCCAATTTCAGAAGAAATGAAATATATATATAGCAACATGACAGTTAACATTTCCTCAAGGTTTCATTCAATTTGATTCAACATTCGATTTTTCACATTCTTTCTGTTTTCATGTCAATAGCAGATATCTTGGAAATACCAACCGCCCGATTGCACATGTGCACATGGTGTTTAACATTATTTTATAAATTCCATTATTATTGGTCAATACAATTCCCAGAAATAGTCTGGACAAAAAAGTAGGAAAAAGAAGAAAAAAGAAGAAACGTAGAATAACCATATGTCACCCGACCTCCGTTCCTGTGACATCATAATAGGGAAAAAGAAACGGAGGAATAGGAATATGTCACCCGACATTCGTTCGGTGTGACATAATAACAATGTCTAGTATATTTCAGAACTGTGTAAAATACGTTTTATATTTCTGTATTACAATTCAGATGCTGTTTGTAGTAATATGTGCTCCGAGCTTTGTTATCTACGTTAAAGACAGTTGACATGAGGGAAAAAAAAAATTGATAACTTACATATATACATTTATAGTCTCAATTACCTGGTTATATCAAAAGGTTTAATGCTACATATGTTTTAATTGATATGAAACTTCAAGTTTTAAAAAATAGTTGAATATGTTTTATATATATATATCAAGAGTCTTTCCTAAATTGAGGTAAATTATATGGCCTTCCAAATACCGTTTCGATCCCTAACATCACTGAAGAGACATTAATTGTCGAAATCCGGATATGGTGTACAAATTTTTGCACCTCATGTTTATGGTATACCATCTTTTCCACAAGTTTATTGTTTTCTGTTTGGTATTAAATAAATATTAAGATCCATTTTGTTAGATCTGGTGATCAATTTATTTGGCAATCGCCAATGGCAGTAAGCAGGGTTTAAGAACATCAGTTGTTCGACCTGTTAGTCAAATGCGTTTTGTTAAATAGACTTTTTCACTTTTTTTGGTCCTTTGGAAATTGTTGTGTGAGCTCTATTCAGACCCCTCTACCACGAAATTTGTTTTACATGCACACGTATAAAAATTGCGGTTTTTATCCAACGCAATCATAGGTTTGAACGTTGTTTTCAATTTCGACTTTTATATATATATAAGTACGTCTGAACCAGTGACGACTCTACAACAGATTTTAGCCATCGGATCACCAGTAGTGATGGTGATACAAGGCTGAAATGGTGCCACGATATCTCAGTAGCATGAGTTCAAATCCCGGCCAGGGAAGAACAAAAAATTTGCTTCCGCAAATTTACAGATCTAACATTGTTAGGCTGTTGTTTAGACGAATTATATTTTGCGGTATACCATCTTTTCCGCAAGTTTATTGTTTTCTGTTTGGTATTAAATTAATAATTAAGATCCATTTGTTACATCTGGTGATCCGTTTATTTGGCAATCGCCATGGCAGTCAGCCGGGTTTAAGAACATCCGTTGTTCGACCTGCTAGTCAAATGCGTTTTGTTAAAATATACTTTTTCACTTTTTTGGTCATTTGAAAAATGTTGTTTGTGCTGTATTTAGACCCCTCTACCAAGAAATTTGTTTTGCATGCACACGTATAAAAATTGCGTTTTTTTTTTCCAACGCAATCATAGGTTTGAACGTTGTTTTCAATTTAGACTTGTTTATATTTTTCGTTTGAGCTTGTATTATATTTGCCTTCAGGTTTATATGATCCGTTCATCCTATTTCGACTCTTTAAAATTTTAGAGTCTATCCTTACTTGAGGTTAATTATATGGCCTTCCAAATACCGTTTCGATTCCTAACATCACTGAAGAGACATTAATTGTCGAAATCCGGATATAATGTACAAATTTTTGCACCTCATGTTTGCGGTATACCATTTTTTCCGCAAATTTATTGTTTTCTGTTTGGTATAAAATTAATAATTAAGATCCGTTTTGTTACATCCGGTGATCTGTTTAGTTGGCAATCGCCATGGCTGTCAGCCGGGTTTAAGAACATCCGTTGTTCGACCTGCTAGTCAAATGCGTTTTGTTAAAATATACTTTTTCACTTGTTTGGTCATTTGGAAAATGTTGTTTGTGCTGTATTTAGACCCCTCTACCAAGAAATTTTTTTCCAACGCAATCATAAGTTTGAACGTTGTTTTCAATTTAGACTTGTATATATATATATATATATATATATATATATCTATCTCTAGATTCGCCTTACGTGACAAGGTAACACTACGACTATTGAAGTTATATTTTTATATAGCGGATGTGGTCGTGTGGTCTAGAGCGCTGGACATGAGGCTAAGCGATTGGTGCTGTAGTGTATCAAAGGTGTGAGTTCGAATCCCGTTGAGGGACAAAAATTTGTCAGCATAAAAGTCTAATTCTAACACTGTTGGGTGTAATTTTCAGACTTATATAAATATTTGTATTAACCCTGCGTCTCAAACACACTGAGATCCAGTGGGCATATATATTGTATGGTTGTCACTTGCTTAGACTTGTTTGTATGATATACTTATTTCTAGTGACTGTATAATGAATTGAATCATTATCCCATACGGTATATAAAAATTGTTGAGTTAGATTGCTGACAAATAACAAATACATTGTGTATTTAATAATAATATAACATCTTCACACGCTTAAAACACATGTCTTATGTCTATCTCTAGATTCGCCTTACGTGACAAGGTAACACTACGACTATTGAAGTTATATTTTTATATAGCGGATGTGGTCGTGTGGTCTAGAGCGCTGGACATGAGGCTAAGCGATTGGTGCTGTAGTGTATCAAAGGTGTGAGTTCGAATCCCGTTGAGGGACAAAAATTTGTCAGCATAAAAGTCTAATTCTAACACTGTTGGGTGTAATTTTCAGACTTATATATATATATATATATATATATAAACAAGTCTAAATTGAAAACAACGTTCTATCCTATGATTGCGTTGGATAAAAATCGCATTTTTTTTCGTGTGCATGCAAAATAAATTTCTTGGTAGAGGGATCTAAATACAGCACAAACAACATTTTCCAAAAGACCAAATGAGTGAAAAACTATATTTTAACAAAACGCATTTGACTAGCATGTCAAACAACTGATGTTCTTAAACCCTGCTGATTGCCATATATATATATATTGCACTAAACATTGATTAATCGTTGGTTGCTTAACGTTTTAAACAGGTTATACTCTCGATGTTCTACATAATAAAAAAAACGGCAAGAAACACCTTGAGATTTTTTTTATAAAAAAAAATAATCCATTACACTTCAGTTTACCGGGTTTGTACTAACACGATCAATACGACGGGTGCCACATGTGGAGCAGGATCTGCTTACCCTTCCGGAGCACCTGAGATCACCTCCAGTTTTTGGTGGGGTTCGTGTTGCTTAGTCTTTAGTTTCTATGTTGTGTTTTGTGTTCTATTGTTTGTCTGTTTTTCTGGTTCTTTTTTAGCCATGGCGTTGTAAGTTTTTTTTTTCAATTTATGAATTTGAATGTCCCTCTGGTAACTTTCGCCCCTCTTTTTCAGCGTAACCACCATCGCTTTTTTGGCGTATCTATCACCAAAATAGCGTCACAATAGCACCATCGCACTTCGGCGTGACCAAAAACACACTTAAGCGTCAAACCATCGCACATCAGCGTGACCATTGTAGTCCTAAATATATATATTTTAATGGCTAAGTTTAACTATAAAACAAGTGTAGGTGAATTTTCTTGTAAAAGAAAATCCTTTATATAATCAAAATCTACATAAATGTACTGCAGTTGAACTATTGTATCCCCGTACACTTATTCGCTGATATTTTCCCGTATGCAACAAGGAAAAGACCGTGATGAAAGAATACCAACAAACGTACACTCGAAGGTAAATGGTATTAATTGCGACTCTTTTCACAAAGATTCTTACGATTAAAATTGATCGTAAGTTATATTGAATTGTGTATGACTTACGAGTATTTTTACTCTAATGATTTTTCTTTTGTGAAAAAAGCTGCAGATTCTTAAAGAACAAATTAACACAGCAGATCATTTATCAACAGTTAAGGAAAAGCTTAATTAACTAATTAACAAATGGGAACGTATAAAACATATATATTGTATATCATGGCTCCAGTTTGTTACATTTTTCAAGTGCTCTGTGTTGATTGTTTATGAATGTCATGATTCGGTTAACTTCGGCAACACACTCGAAAGTTAATTTATTTAGCTTGAAATCAACAATCACTGAAAAAAATTTTATATGTCGATAATGCGTTATTGATTCGTGATAAATATTAAAAAAAACCTGTGCATACAAGAATAATTTCATTATATATACATGCATTGTTTCAATAATTTCGATAACCTTTTACAAGATACTCGTTTTATATGACTTTTATCAATGTTTAAATGGTCATGACCCAGTACTCACAATGAACGTAACCTAGACACATCTAGATATTTAATCGTAATAAAATTTGGCTTGTTTCCAACGATGTTAACGGTTTTTAATATTTTTAAAATAGATGACTTGACAAGTAAGAAATAATTCAAGCTAACCTAGTTTAAAAAATAATTGTCCGCCATGTTGGAAACTATAAATCGAACGTAAAAAAGTTTAAGCAGGAGAATTACGTATATATATATGTCGACAAAACGCATTCGTGGATAACAGTTCAGGTTGGTATAACTGAGTTTAATCATTTTAATATAAATTAATGAGCTATTGACGGCAACCTTTCTGTTTAACTGCATTCTTTAATATTTAACTAGCAATACAATTAAGATAAGATATCAATACATTCATGTAGTCATAGTCTTGCATGAATTTTGACTATTTATGATAAACACCAACCGTTAAGCCTGTGTTTATTGTATTCAAATCTAGAGATTTAGTCACTAATACGAATCAACATTTGATTCTTACACAGAAATGCACTGACTTAAGGTATTTTTCATAAATCTTAACCATACAGTACAGGGAATATATTTTTCATCTTGGTCATTCTGTCTGTACCAAAGTCGTTTCCATTTCGGTAGTTTTAGCATCTAAGCAAATTGATCGGAAGATTTTTCGTATCAATATTTTCATTGGGATTTAGACTTCAAGTAAATGTCCCCAAATCTTATTATATCTTGATGATTAATGACAATTGTTGTTCATATGATTTCAGGGATCTTATATATAAGATGCACAATCAGCCTGAACTGAAGGCAGTCTCAGTAAGGCTATACAAGTACCTGTGTGACGAAATAGTTGGTTGTGAAAAAGTTGTCAGATATAAAAGATTGTACTGCAAACTCCATGATGATATATCAAATGAAAGTGATTTAGAAATAATTAGCAGTGGAAGTACGGCTGAAGGTTTGACCCTTACGGGCAGCGATATTGATATCATGTTTCGTTCGAAGTTTTGTGAAGTTTACGAAGATGAACCTAGAGACGAAGAAGATGTTATTATTCTTGACACTGAAAATGCTTTACCAGGTTTTGCATTACTGAAGGTACCTGATGGATCAGATTTCCCAACAACAAATACTGCTAATGGAATTCTACTAGCTAACACTGAAATGTTTCAGGATATCTGGGACCAGGAAGAAGGCTTTGACGACTTTTTCGAAATTCATGGACCAAGTATGTCAAATTCAATGCTGCACGATATTGACATAGTGCCCTTTGTAAGGTGTCATACATGGCCGAAGGTCGCCCACAAATGGTTTTTTAGGTATAGACCTTCTAGTTGGCCATCACAGGATACCATTTCGAAGGTAGCTTCGGATGGTGTTTTACTAGTACCGGTTGGAAGCAAGTCACCTAGCAGCGAACTTCAAGGTAATCCGTTAGAATGGCGATTCTCATTTTCTCTTTCTGAAAAGCTATTAATTTACTCATTTAATCATACTCAGTTGCTTTGCTATTCGTTGCTGAAACTATTTTTAAAGGAAATAGTAAATATAGATAATATACTTAATAATAGATTATGTTCATATCATATGAAAACTGTGCTATTTTGGATATTGGAAGAAGATGAAAATTTGTTATGGATTCCCGAACATCTGCTACATTGTTTTCTTTTATGCATCCAACGTCTGCATTATTGGATTGTATGTGGTTATATTCCTAATTATTTTATACCGGAATATAACATGGTGGAAGGAAAACTCTCGCAAGATATTCGTTCATATCTTGCATTATTCCTGGACAAGATTAATATGCATGGAGACTGGAAAATTATTTTTTCAGCTCCTTCACTTTGCAATTTCCGAAATACACCATTAAATATATCAAGACAATTCCAACGTTTAGCTGCAATAGATGAAGCAGTTTTAAGCCTTCGAACATTCAGTACTTTAGCTTTCTGTTTTTCAGACTATTACACAGGTGAAACCCTTTGTGTATGCATACTGTATAGGATGCTACGGAAACATCTACCAAATTCCGCAAGAAAAATGCTAGCCGTAATGTTTTTAAAAGGAAACAAAATGATATTAACTTCCATGGATGTTCTTAATGGCAAAAACAAGTGTTCCTACCTTCATTACAAAGAATGTCTTTCTCGTGTTTTGATAAATACATTTTACGATGACGTGTTCGGATGGTTACTACTTGCAGCATATTTTTATTCCACACAGGAATTTGATAAAATGTCTCAAATTTTACTATTTGCATCGAGTGAGCTGTCTCTAAATAAACACAGATTTTCAGGAGCATCGCATGTAGATAATAGAGGTTTTGAGTTTAAAAACTATCAATTCTTAAATGCTGATTTTCCGGATATAGCATTTCTTGGAAGTAATCAGTCGCTAGCGTTGTTCTTTTTTCTAAATTTTTTATACAGTCGTAAGCAAGGAAGCTGTCTTGAAACCCAATCTGCATTGAAATTACTAGAACAGACCGTTAATGAAAAAAGTGATACACCTATACATTGGTTATGTACACTGTCATCTTATAAACTTTTACAAAAGGCGTTTGAACTTTTAAACGATATAGAAGGGAAAGAAGCATGTACATTAGAAACTTTAAAAGCAGTTAAAAAGTCGGAGAAATTTAACATTTTCGTGAAATGTGACAAAGACGTCGAAGAAATGAAACTGATACTTGAACTTGTGTAAAAATATTTTAATGTTCAGCAAACCAGACAAAATTATGATTTTCAGGTAGTGACAATTATAATCTGTCTCTACGTCTCCTTTCTGTGTTGTTTAACATAACTGATCGCAGATTTTCGAATCTTTGATTATTGTCTACAGATGAAAATTTAGATATTCGAAAACATGTAAATACAATGAAAAATGTATTGCGATATTATTATTAGGTGTATACTAGAGAAAGGAAATCCTAATCTAAACATATTTTTCTATAAATCGGACCTACCTTAAGTTTATTTAATCAAAAAAGTAAAATAACAAAAATACCGAACTTCGAGGAAAATTAAAAAAAGGAAAGTCCTTATCCAAAAGCTTAAACACATCAAACGAATGGAAAACAACTATCATATTCTAAAGAGCATAATACGCCGTATAATTATTTATACACGTTCACGATATCTCATATACTTGGCACGATATCTTCTCCATTCTTTGTTATAGATATCTTTTATCGTCGTCGTCATAGCATTAATTTAAAACAGCCTTTCAAGACCGTCATAATCATGATAAATATTTGGACTAGTATTGTGAAAATAATTGTGAATTTGTCGGATCTCGTTCCATAAAATTGTATGAATTTCAAGATTATATATACGTCACTGTTTGTGGTGTCCTGTGCTGTCGTGAATGGAAGATGTTCGTTGTTATTCTGCGGTTTACATGTTGTAATGCATATTATATTATTTATTTATGCGTTTCTCTGTGCTGAGTGTTCTTGCGTTTAATTGTACTGTATTCCTGTCACGTAGTGTTGTCATTTTAGCGATATTTGCTAACATTGTCATATAAGCGGGAGGTTTGGCTTGCCATAAAACCAGGTTCAACCCATCATTTTTCTTAAAATGTCCTGTACGAAGTCAGGAATATTGCAGTTGTTATCAAATAATCCGTTTCCGTGTATGTTGGCGTTTGTTTTTTATGCCCTTCAGTGTTTTTGTTGTTTCATTGGTTTCCTCTTATAGTTGATGTGTTTCCCTCGGTTTTAGTTTGTAACCCGGGTTTGTTTTCTCTCAATTGATTTATGACTTTTGAACAGCGGTACACTTCTATTGCCTTTATTTATATAGGTAATAACTTATATTTAGATACTAGAACACTCCCGCGACATCATGGATCTCTGACTGAAGTACCTACGCCTTATTTTTAGCCTGGATATTTAGTACTCGTACTGTCATTTTATAAAGTCATGCTGATTATAAGGTGTATAGTATTTTCGGCTTTCAAAATCTTTCTGTTTGAACACGTCACCTAGTTTTCTTATAACAACCTTCTGGCAGTAATACCCGTCACGGCCAGGCTGAGGAACTGGGTAGGCAAACGCGCGCATTAAATCTGTCCCGATACAGTGTATTAAATATCCTCCTTTACACCATAACCCATGGCGGTGCTTCTATTGGGAGAGGGAGATACAGAACATAGACACATACAACCGGAAACTAAATGTGACATATACTATTGGAATCGATATCGGATTCGACCCGACACTTGTTTATTATTGGTAATATTACTTATGTGGGAACCAAAAGGGCCTGGAATGGTGCAATCGACACCATAATCCTACATTTGTTATATATAAAGTTGAATTCTTTGACTCGTCGTTTTAACTTCATGCCGGCTAACAATTAGGACCTCGTTATTTTAGTAGTATGGATATATAATTATATTTAAAAGTTTCAAAAACATATCATATATTACTATAAGTTATTTTTTAAATTGTATATCACATAAAGAATATGAGATTTCTCATTAACTTTATCTTTGAAAAGAAATAACAGATATCTATTAAAATTATGCGAAGTCTTGAAAAAATTTGAATATAAAATTTATCATTGAATCTATAAGATACACATTTATCTTATCTAATGTAGACTCTATTTTATGTATTTATGATATATCTTATTATTTCATTAAAGCAGATATAACACACAAAAGATGGCAACTTTATCACATGATTTTATAGAATTATAACATAAGATATCACAGAAAATTGCACACTGGGTTTTTTTGCTGTATCTAAATTCTTATGTAGACTCAAAACGGGTTCTTTGATCGTCTGCTTACAATGTGCACCTCAAACAACATAATGTAAATTTTATCGTCGTTTTGAACAAAAAGACGAATGTCACTGGTATACAGAGGTTTCTGAATTCTCTCCTACATTTTAAGGTTAATGAAAGAGGTTGTGAATGGGGTCCTTCATTTCTGTTTTTCTCTAAATTTTGAGGACATTTTCTCTAATCCTTATAATTTTTTTACTGTTATCCTTAATTTTTTTCAGCACCACATTATTCTCTATTCTTTATTTATGTTGGCCTATTTTTTCTATGCTTTAATTTTGAGCCCTTTATTCTGCACATGTTCCCCATTATCCTCTATTCTGTAGCCAGACCCTCATAAAATATCTAACACAACACTTGATAAATTTCATGCGTACTAAGAGCTATTCCATACAAATTATGCAAAATAATAATTCACAAAGACTTCTTATAGCAGGGACTACTTTTCAACAGACTGTTGAAATATCAACCCATACTTCAAATTTGGTCTTGTTCACAACATATTCAAAAGTTGATATCATCCCTTCGATGCCATTTTGAGTTGGTTGGCCGTCGTTATAGAATATCTGTTTCACAGAAAACGACGGATATGTGTTTATTGTCGTAACCTAAATGCTGCCCATTTATACTTGAATGTGACCTACCGAACAAGATTTGTCACCGCGTTTATATTAATTTGATCAACATGACGGATGCCGCATGTGGAGTAGGATCTGCTTACCCTATCGGAACGGCTGAGATCACTCCCGATTTGTTTTTTTTTGTGGGGTTCATCCTGCTCAGTCTTTACTTGTCAATCTTGTGTTTTCTATGCTGTTGTTTGTGTTTTGATCGTTTTTCGTTATTGTGTCATTGCGTTGTTAGTTTGTTTTCGACTTATGAGTTTGATTTTTTTTTTAATTTTTATTAGAATTATCGTGGTAACAGTGTATGATTCTCTTAACCTATGTCATAGTAAGAAACGATGTTGAAAGAAAACAATTATAAGAAGTACAGTATGGAATGATGAATATTGTTATACAGTGTGCATATAGTTGAACAGTTATAAATGTTATATATTGTTGACGAATAACTAGTGAAAAACATAAAGACATTTTAGGAACTATATGTATTTCTAGGAATTCACATCAGAACGACAGCATAGTAGGGAATATAGAAATAATGTGGTATGATTGCCAATTAGACAACTATCCACCAATGTTCAAATAAAGTAGGTGTAAGCAATTATAAGCAACCGTACGGCCTTCAACAATGAGAAAACACTATACAGTATAGTCGGCTATAAAAGGCTCCGACAGTTTGTATTGTATAATATTTGACAATCGGCCTCTTTAACTTTTTATCATCGCAGAAAGGTAATTATTAGGTCCTGGTGTTTCTCCGAATTGGCCTATTGCAAAAATTTATGTTGTGTTTATAAGATATAACTTACCTTTAAGTGGATTAGATCAACGAATATTTCCATTCCACACAGACTTAAGGCATCATGATTATCTGATGACGGTATATAGCCATAGACCTGTTGATATGTCTTAAATATCGTAGCATATCTTCCATGACTTTCATTGCAGGTGACACTTAAGGTAGATTCATGGTATACCGCCATCTTGGATTGTACAATCGCCGTACAAAATCGGTCTAGTTATTTGCCCAAATCTGCAAATTTGGAGACAGATTTGCAATTTAATGCTTAGACTGTTTATTTATATAAAGAACACTTGGTGATTTATTGTATAATTCAAAACATTTAAACAAATATCAATTTTTTTTGTTTTTATAATCATTTTTTTAAATGAGCAATTTCAGGGGAAATAACTCTTTTAGTAAACAATTTATACTGCACTAATAGGGAAATTTTTAATTTTTACTTGTAGCAAGAAAACAAGTTCGGTGACACCATTTTTTCTTTTTATTTTCTTAAAACATATTATGAAACCTATCTTCTCACAATTTATTTCAAAATTCTATCTCATAGAATTTTTCTTATGCACACAAATGTGTTTTTTCATGAACAATCTAACCAAATTTAGGCTATTTTCAACGACTCATAGCTTGAAAAATAGCACGGTGACCCATACTTTTTATTATATTTTTGAAAAAAGCATACTAAAATCTTCATTTTGGCAAATTATAATAAAATTCTGTCTCAAAAAATATATACTTATGATCTACCTTAATACACTTGGTGCTTGTCCATTGTTAAAGAAACAGAGTTGACCTGGTTTCTTGTCGGAATCATACCATGTCGCCACTTCAGGGTTATTAATAAAATTGTAGAAATCACTAAGGCATTTGCCTAAAATGAAATGAAAAACAGAGAATGAAAACGGGGAATGTATCAGAGAGACAAAACATCGACTAAAACACAGGAAAGAAAAAAAAGCCTAAGGCTACCAATAAGTTTTCAATGCAGCAAGAGAAAAACCAGCACCCAGAGGCGGGATTTTGTTGGCCCACTTAACAATTGGTAAACTGGTTCAGCGAAATGGACGCCAACAAAGGATAGAAGTTTCTGAAATGGGACAAGCGAAAATATACGGCGGGGTTAAACATGTTTTGTGAGATCTCAAACATTCCCTAAAATCTCTAGGCCATATTGAATAAACAAACAAACAGCAATATTTACAGAAAACTCAGTTAATACGATAGGAAACAGACGAAACTAAGCAAAATGATAATTATCGGCACAAATTAAGAAAGGACTACAACATGTACAAAGAGATACTTAAATGAAAGCTTCTCAATCAAACTGATCTCGAAAAATTATTTCTTTATCATATGAAAATTATAAACACCATACGGTGGTGCCAAGGAAACTTCAACATTTGAAAAAAAAGATAAGAAACAGAAGAAAATGAAAAATAATTTCTTTTATCGTAAATTTTAGTATTGAGCATACTGTTAGAGATATAGACATCAAGATCCAGTAAAGAACAGTGTTTATTGTTTGTTCTTCCGTTATTTATAGTACGTTCAACCGGATAAATCTCTGTAGTGTACAAACCATAGATTTGGCCTCGGCCTC